TCCTTATTTCTGCTACATTCATCACTTTGTTATACAAAACGTAAATTACATAGAATTAAACTATATTCCAACATATTAATCAATAATTTTTTCATATTTTGACAGTACAATAAGTGGGTTTTTACACACACTTATCACCACCCACTATTATTGTATGTATGCTTGATAGCGTGAGCATGTAATTTGTTTAAATAATTGAGGAACATGTTTCTGTGGCACAAGAACCCATATTCCATTCATTTGGATAGAGTTGGTTTTGGAAATGCATGGAGCAGATTGATACTTTATCTTAGAATTTTTGGACATTGTTTAATTTGACAGTTGGAGTATAACTATATTTTGGTCATGGAGTTTTAAGGCAGGGACATTCTTTCTTGCATATGAAGAATATATTGTGGGGCTATACTAATTGTGTCGTTTCTTCTTCATGCTAATTACCAACGGGAACATCCATTAATTTTAAATAAGTTGGTTAATTTTTGTGAAATGTACGCCCACTTATCTTGTTGAATATTATACTAACTTTTGTTGATATTATTCCTGCTTAATGATGATAGCCTCAATTAATTTGATGAAATTAAGTAAGACGATTTGTGCAAAGTGTAGATGATATTATATTATCACGTTATTAACATTGTGCAATTGGAGTGTGTTTGCACAATATGACAAAATGTGATGCAACTGCCATATAAGACCAGATTGCAAATAGTTAAGTTATTTGGTGTTTATTCGAATTACTTGATAAATAAGGTGAAGAGATGCCTTAATTGTTTGAAACGAAATGATGCACTATCTTGTGAAAAGTCACAAGATTGATAAGTTGCATACATTTGAAGAAGTTGAAATTTTTCAGCATCAAGATGCCTAGCCTTCTTCAATTGTCACTACACCAAAAATGGCCTTTTGCAACACGTAAAAGATAACATTCGTTGATTAAATGTTGCTAAAGAGGCCTATCGTAACATTTTAGCAAGTGAATGTTGCTATTGGCTAACATAATTGAGATTTCGCAACATTTTTTTTAAAAAATGTTCCTAATGTCGCATTTTGTAACGATTTATAAATGTTGCTAAAAGTTCAAAATTTTGCAACTTTTTTGAACCTTGTTGAAATCTGGTTCTATAGCAACGTTTATGTCATATTGTTGAACTCTCAATATAAAGCCTTTTGCAACGTTTATTGACAGTTGCGAAAAGATTACTTTTTGTAACGTTTTTTAATTATTACGAAAAAATTAATTTTTTGCTATGTTTTTTGAACGTTGCGAAAAGTCAAAAAGCGTTGCAAAAAATTAACTTTTGGCAATGTCTTTTGAACGTTGCAAAAAGTTTACTTTTGACAACATTTTTTAAACGTACTTTTTGCAACATTTTCTAAACGTTGCGAAAAATTTTGTACTTTTTTTCCAAATTGAATTGTACACGGGATCAAATGATAGAAATAAAAAATAACCCAAACCTTACCCTCTATTCACACCTCTCTTCTCCCAATCACTTTCAATCTCACCATTTCCATCGCCTTACACTTAGGGTCCGTTTGATTGCAAGGGTGGAAAATGGGTGGAAAGAAAATGTTTTACAGGGAATTGATTTTCTTAGAAAATGTTTTACTGAGAATTGTAATCAATTGTGTTTTATTGGTATAATTTTTCATGGAAAATGTTGAAAGTTTGGTGTCCATTTGACTTCGTTTTTTATGGAATTTGTCCATTAAAGTGATAATTTTTTCTACCATTGGGTCTAAAATTTGTTCCAATTGTAAAAAAAAAAAAAATTTGAAAAAAAAATTTGAAAAAAAAAAATTTAC